CAGCAGCAGCCTGCTGTCATCCACATGCTCTGCAGCTGGTGTGTGGAGCTTTAAAACAAACAAACAAACAAATAAATAAATAAATAAAAAAAGCCCCGCACTCACTGGCTCTGGCAGCGGCAATTCGAGCCTCTGAGGGCTTGTGGCAGAGCTCCCCCCATGCAGCAGGGGGCAGTGGGGGGGGCAATGGCAATCACACCCCCACCTCCACCTGGCACCTGCACAGCAGCCGCACCATCGCACAGGTGCAGTACGGCTTGGCAGGGTGCCGCACGCTGTCCCGGAGCTGGGGCAGATCCACGTGTCAGCCAGAGCTCCCGGTTTGATTCCCCAGCTCTCTGGCCAGTCCCCCAGCTCTTTCCGGGGGGCACAGGCCTCTGGTTTGACGTGCCAGGTTTCAGCAGGGCGACGCTGCAGGCTGGGGGCAGCGGCAGCACAGCAGCCTTCCCGGCTCTTGGTGTGGGCTGTGTCAAGCAGCTGCCACTGGCCCCAGCCGGCAGGAGCAGCCTGCCTGAAACCTCGCATGCAGATTGGGGGCCGCACCCCTGGGAAGAGCTGGGGGAAGTGATCAGAGAGCTGGGGAATTGAACCGGGAGCTAGATTTCATTATCAGAGCAGTCCTTCCTCCCTCTCCATAGTTTCTGTTTAGCTGCAAGCCCAGCTTCGAAACGCAAAACATTTTGCAACATTCGAAAATTTCAAGTGCCCTCATTTAGTTTTGAAGCCTCTTGTTTCATTTTGATTTCGCTGCTTCAAGCTCGAAATGCAGCAAAACCGCTTCGAAACATAACACTCGTCGAAGTTTCGCACAGCTCTACTTCTTAGCAAACAATATTCTTCTTATTTTTATACTACAGAACATCCCCTATATTTTTAAAAGACTGAGTTTCATTTCCCCATGGTTTACTCAACACTGTACCAAACAAGTAGGGGATTTGTTTGATGACAATACTGATATAGTTTGATTGATAATATTGACAACAAAACTCTGCTCCGGTGGTGATTACTGCATAAAAACATCACTAGGATGGTCAACACCTGCACAGCAAACTGTGGATCATAACAACCAATATTTTAACTAGCAACTTCCTGGAAATTTTAGTTTTAATCTGATATGATACATTATGTCCCAGAGAGCTGGTGCTGAAAGATGGCTATTCCCTTTTTCCTCCTCAATAAAATGACTTGTAAAAGTAAGGCGATAAGTCCTTTCAGCAAAGAAATTAAGTTGCATTGGCTGGAAAGCTTTTAACATGAATCCTGGCAGCCTTTGGTGCATTCCTTAATAATTATTTTGATCCTAGCTTCCAGATTTTTTCCAGGTTTTGGAGGCAACATAAAATCCTAAAATAGCATGAGAAGACAGTCTGAGAAATGTATAGTGGATTCTGGGGGGTCTCTTCTCTAGCACAGACTGAAAATGCTGCCCATTTGGTATAAAGTGGTGTTTTCTGCCTCTGAAATGAACCTCTCCAACAAGCTTTACCTGTGTTTTATCTCTGTCTTTCCAGCTTGTGTGCAAATAAGTTTGGAAAAGCAGGAATCCAAAACATCGAGGAAGTGAAAAGGCACCGACCTGACTTGCAGGTTGTATTGAAGATGACAGAAAGCGAACAGCTGCTTGATGAAGTGATAGAAATGGTGGAGGAGGTATTCAGCGAACAGCACGCATTTGACAAAAAGTGGCTCCTAAAAACTATTCAGACTGCCAAGAAAGATCTTCATGATGAAGGGCATCTGAGGGAGCCTGTGAGAGGAAAAGTAATAAAGCTAAAAAAGTTGTTGAGAAAGGTTGAAGACCAGTTCCAAGCACAAGAGCCTGGGAAAGACTGCATCCTCAAGCTTAGTTAGAAGGTAGGCTAAAAAGGCAAATTCTTCCAAAGCAGAAAAGTGCTGCAGCTTTGCACCCAGTGATAAGCCTAGATGCATTCATATCACTTAGGACAAGCTCTGTAGATGTACCGCTTACCACCTGCATTAGTGGAAAATTTCTAACCACCGGTCGAGTAGCAGGATTCAAGGGCTACATTCCCAGACAGATAACCAGCAAGCAAAGGCCTGAGCAGGAGTTTTTCCCCACTTTGGCCTACCTGAGCTTGCAAGGTCAGGAGCATCTGGCTGATGTTTCTGCCTCTGTGCTGGTTCTGCTACGTGGAGGGCTACCCCTGGCAATGAGGAGAGCAAGCCAGGGGTCAGAGGTATAGCAGAGCAGCAGTGCCCCTCCTGGAAGTCACTGCCTGGGGCTGCTGTCCCGGCCACCCGGCCACAGGTCCGATCCAGGAGCACTTCCGTAGCAGGGAAAATGGAAGAATGGGTTTTGCAGGCAACTGTTGCCCATATCTTTAAACAGTGAGAAACCATGTCAAACTTTTCCTTCCCCTGCTCCGTGATCGGCCTCCTGCTTTGCCCTGACTCAGTTTCTGTGTTTCCCCCAAGCATCAGTTTCTGTGATGTCCCAAGCATCGCAATCGGGCTGGGGAAAGGTACTGAGCTTGATCACTCAATTCCCTTCCCCAGCCCTACGATCGGGCTGGGGATGGGAAGTCAGCCCAGCTGGGCTGAGTTCCTTTCCCCAGCGGGACGGTCGGGTGAAACATTGAAATGGCGTCGAAACAGCCTGGCTGGAAAATGGAACAGCTGTTTCGACTCAAAATGAAATTCGAAACAAAACGCTGCTCCGTTCAAACCTCGAAGCTGAAGTCGAAATGGAAGAGTGCCGTTTCGCACAGCCCTGCTAATTCCCCAGGCTGAGCTACCTGTGCTCTGCTCGGCTCGCAGGAGGGGTCCTGCATTCAGGGGCGCTGATTATATGAAGACAGATCAATGCACGTGGCCGTGTCTGCAGGACTGCTGCTGTTGAGACAGGGCTGAGTCCAGGCTGGAGGAGCAAAACGCAAGTCTCTGCTTCTGCTGCTTGCTCAAACTGAGCTGCTTCCCCTCTGAGCCTCAGTTTTCCTGTCTGTGAAATGGGCATGGTAACGTGCACAGTCCAAGGGGGCTAGTCTGAGAATGTCAAATAGGTTGAAAGCAGCACGTGAACGTATTTACACGCATCCCTGCTTTTACTATTGTAGGTAATAGAAATTGGGCTGGGTCTCCCTTCCCCCTCCTGCTGTCCCACCCCTGTTTGCATTGGGAGGGAGGTCTGGCTCAGGGCTCCTGTTCTCCATTGAAACCAAGGCAGGTTGACACAGGGAAGGAGGGAGACTGTCCCGTTGCTCCTTTATCATCCCTGGCCACTTCCTCAGCCAGCTTCTCCTCTGTTGCCCCATCTCTGCAGTCTCTCTCACCTGGTTTGATTGGTTCCTTCTTTTGCTTTTGCATCGCTTCTTCCAGCCCCTCGGGCACAGCCCCGACACTGCCTTTCTTGCACACCTCGCCGTGCTGCTCCCACTGCCTCCCGCTCTGTTCCCAATTACCATGAAACCTTCCACCCCCTCAGCCCATCCCCTCTGCTGTGAATGGGGCAATGGTACCAAAGCCGTTCTGCTGCTGTTCGAATACCAAGAGGGAGAGACCATGCTCCCACATCCCCTCTTGTAAACCTCTCAGCCCATTTTCAGTGTTTTAAATAACTGTCTTGCCAGGAAAGCAAGCTGCACATCACAGGAGACAGTGTAAGGGCTCTTCTGTTCACTGTGCAGCTGCAATCATACAAGCAAACAAGACATGAGGATGCTGGAGACTGGGATGGAGGATAAGCCTCAGGATTTCGGCTAATAAAAGTTAATGAGGGGGCCTAGTTCAATGCCTGGATAATGCTAGATGTGACTCCATGTTCATCACTCAGAGCCTGTCTACAACGGAGGCTGCAGCGCACTGTACGTATCTGTGCCAACAGCATCGTTTTGGCACTGACAGCCTCTCCGAGCTCAGATGCTAGAATAAAGAAGCCTAGTGTTGGTAATATGAGGTATTCAGCTTGGAATAGATGCAACATTACTGACTTTCAACATGAGTGGGGGGGCGTGCTGTGAATGCACGTGCTGATTTTTAACTTGAATATGGGGGAGGGTGCACACACCTGTGCGCGCGCGCGCGGCAAGTTATATTCTAGCATAACTTACTAATATGCGAGTGGAAAGGTTTACCACTAAAGCTCCCCAAGAGAAATATAAAACTGCGAGCACAGCTGTAGACGGACAAGGACAGAGGAAGGGAGAAAACCGCCTCACTCCCTTCGCTGACTCCACTGTCCCACTAGCTCCCCAGATGCAGCAGAGAAAGCCTTGCATAACTACACAGGGAGCTGGAAGAGAATTGCAATATATGGCATTGTGCACCCAAAATCCTCCCTGTAAGAAAGGAGACTGCTGGAAGTCCCAGCTCTGCCAAGTCCCCCGCTGCAGACTGAGCCTCAGTCCAATCCTCCATCCCCCTCTGGTTTGGGGCCTTTTTCAGTCCTGCACTCTCATCCCTGCTCCGAGTTCCTGGGTCTTCATATCCTCCTCCCAGCCCCTACCTGGGGCCTGGGCTCACAGATCTTCTCATCCCCCCAGTCCCCAGGCTCCTGCACTCACTACTAGGCCCCACTCTTAGCCTCTCTTGGACTACTACATCTCAAAGTGGGCTTTGAGCCTGTCCTCTACAAGGACAAACTACCCATACCATTTAATAACAAACACCTAAACCCTTTGGGAGGCACTCAAGCCTTCTCTAAGCTTAACCCAAACCAGGGCCACATGCCCATATGAGCAAGTCCCTCTTTACCCCAGGTACCTGCCCTTGCTCCCCATGGTGCAGCATTGCTTTCTTTCAGTATTCAAGAGCTCTACTATTACAAGTATCTCACTTCATAACACTCAATGTTAGGCTACTTGACTAGCTTGGTCCCCGGGCTTATATAGCTCCAGCCCACCTGCTGCTGGTCAGGTGAGTCCCTAATTAACCCCCTGTGCCACCTGCAAGCTGCCTTTAAAGAAGTAGGCATGTCCCAGTGCCCTACTACAGGGGTCAAGAGCAGGGCTAGGTAGCAGAGTCAGAAAGTTGGAGAGCTCCTGATAATGAACAGCTGTGAGGTAATTAGGTAATGAGCTGTTGAGGTAGGAAGAGGTAGGGTATAAGGCCTGGACATGAGGCAAGGAGCCATACTCCTGGGCAGAGCTGGAAGAAGGACTTTTCTGGGCTGAGTGGAAAAGTGATGTGGGAGACTGGGAGCTGTAAGTAGCTTTAGGAGGGCACAAGCTGGGAGTACTAGGACATGTCTACACATGCAACTAATGCACATGAATAAGCTCTGGAATGGGTTGCTCCCAGGTGTGCTGTTTGAAGCAAAAAAAACCTCTGGATAATATTGCTCTGGACCTTATTCATGCACAGCACATGGAGCCTGATAAGAGCAGCCCCAGCTGGCAGTGGACCTGGGGGTCAGTCTGCCAGCCCAGCATAGCTTTGATGGAGCCCCATGTGCTGCAGAAGGGCTGGCTGGGGCACAAGGGTGCTTCAGCATGGAGGTAGCTGGCAGGCAGCCCCTACAATGAAGCATTCCCATGCCCCAGCCAGCTGAGCAGCATCTAGGCATGTGTTGCTGCACATGAAAAAAACCTGACTCTGTTCAGCTTCTTGTCCACCATCACCCCCAGGTCCTCTTCTGCAAAGCTGCTGCCCAGCCCATCACCCCCAGCCTGCACCGGTGCATGGGATTGCTCCGTCCTAAGTGCAGGACTTTGTATTTGTCCTTCTTGAACCTCATGACACTTCTGTTGGTTCAATCCTCCAATGTGTCTAGGTTGCTGAATCCTAGCCTGACCCTGCAGTGTATCTACTACTCCCCCCCACTAGCTTTCTATCATCTCCTCCCCAGTGCAGTATGGGGAAGAGGATTGTCTGCAGTTCTGTGAGGGGGGGAATGGCCAGAGGAAATCGGGTTTCTTTTTTTCTGTGAAACACCAGGATTTCTTAGGGTGATTTCTTTTTATTGGACCAACTAGGTAGATGGGATAAAACTAGACAGGCTTTCAAATGCAAGACCTTCTTCATCTGGTTTCTGGAAAAGAATAGTTTGCCTTCAAAAGTTTACCTAAGTTTATCTCACTGTTGGACAAATAAGAGATCACCGTAAGAAATCTTTACGTTTCTTGAACATCCTCCTTACACTACTGTTTCTTGTCTGTAAAATTCGTCTCCTGCCAGCAGAGGGCACCAATTGATCCCTTTTCCATCATATTGAGACAGAAAAGCAGCTTTAAGATCTAATGCAAATCCCATGTAAAGCCTCAGGTTGACTTCAATGAGCTTTGGATCCAATCAGGCCCTATACAAACAGTTCCTAGAGCTCTGGGACAGCTTCAGGTCCTTACCTTGGGGGCTCGGACCATAAAGAAATTCTTCCTTATGTCCAGCCTGAAACGATCTTGTTGGAGTTTATGACCATTCAACCTCGTCATCCCTTGGGGCGCTCTGGTGAACAAACATTCCCCCAGATGCTGGTGGTCACCCCTGATAAACTTATAGGTGGCCATCAGATCGCCCCTGAGCCTGCGTTTTTCCAGGTTAAAGAGCCCCAGGGCGCTCAGCCTGTTGTCATAGGGTCTGTTTTCCTGTCCTCTGATCATGCGCGTGGCTCTTCTCTGCACTCTCTCAAGCTTCTCCACATCCTTTTTGAATTGTGGAGCCCAAAACTGGACGCAGTACTCCAGCTGCGGCCTCACCAAGGCTGGGTACAAGGGGAGAATGACGTCCCAGGATTTGCTTGAGAAGCATCTATGGATGCAAGCCGGTGTTTTGCTCACTTTACTAGCCACATTGAAGGCCCCTGTTCATCTTGTGATCAATCATGACCCCCAAGTCCCTCTCATCTGTAGTGCTAGTCAGTGTAGCACTGCCAAGCCTATAAGGATGCTGCAGGTTTTTCCTCCCAAGGTGGAGAACCTGGCATTTTTCGGTGTTAAACACCATCAGGTTCTCATCTGCCCATTTGCTGAGCCTGTCCAGGGCAGCCTGGATCGCTCTCCTGCCCTCAGGTTTGGATGCTTTACCCCACAGTTTGGTATTGTCAGTGAACTTGGCCAGTCCACTTCTGACACCAATGTCCACATCATTGATGAAAATGTTGAACAGTATGGGTCCAAGGACAGAGTCCTGGGGGACCCCACTGGTCACAAGGCACCACGACAATTGACTTCCATCAACCACCACCCTCTGGGTCCGACCATGGTGCCGATTCCCCAGCCAGTGGACCGTGGTGGACCCAAGGCCATGCTTCCCCAGTTTTGCCATCTGAGGCGAGGTAGGCACACGAGAAGGGAGGGACAGGATACAAGTGGACCTGGACAGGTTACAGGGGTGGGCAGATGAGAATAAGGTGGGATTCAACACTGACAAGTGCAAGGTGCTGCACCTGGGGAGGAAAAACCAGCAGCAGACCTACAGGCTGGGGAACTCCCTTCTCGCCAGTGCAGAGGCAGAAAAGGATCTTGGAGTCATTATTGATGCCAAAATAGACATGGGCTGACAGCGTGTGGATGCAGTCAGGAAGGCCAACTGTACCTTGTCGTGCATCCACAGATGCATCACAAGCAGGTCCCAGGAGGTGATCCTCCCCCTCTACGCGACACTGGTCAGGCTGCAGTTGGAGTATTGGATCCAGCTCTGGGCGCCGCACGTCAGGAGGGATGTGGACAGCATGGAGAGGGTCCAGTAGAGGCCACTCACATGGTCAAGTAGGGAAGCAGGGCAGGCCCTACGAGGAGAGGCGACGGGATCTGAACCTGTTCAGCCTCCACAAGAGAAGGCTGAGGGGGATCTAGTGGCCATCTATAAACTTACCAGGGGGGGCCAACGGGGAATGGGAGAGACCTTGTTCCCCTGAGCACTACCGGGAGTAACTAGGAATAATGGCCATAAGTTGACAGAGAGTAGATTCAGACTAGACATCAGGAGGCAATACTTCACAGTCAGGGCGGCTAGGATCTGGAACCAACTTCCAAGGGAAGTGGTCCTCGCTCCTACCTTGGGGGTCTCATAGTTTCATAGTTCATAGTTTCTAGGGTCGGAAGGGACCTAGGCAGATCATCTAGTCCGACCCCCTGCCATGGCAGGAAAGAGTAATGGGGTCAAACGACCCAGGCCAGATGTTCGTCTAACCTCCTCTTAAAGACCCCCAGGGTAGGAGCCAGCACCACTTTGCTTGGAAGTTGGTTCCAGATCCTAGCCGCCCTGACAGTGAAG